ACTGTCACTATCTCCTGCCATATGCAGGCTCTCCCCAAGTGGTGGGAAAATAAGACTAGTGGCAGCTCCCAAATATCTCTCTGCAGTTAACAGTTGAGAAGAAAAGCAGTGCCCTTTCATGGAGATYACATGGAGACTGGATCACTTGGGTCTCATGCCCACCATTTACACCCTTAACTGAGCACAAAAAGAAAGGGCACCTCATCCACATGCTCGTGCCCCTGTAGCTAGAGGGGGTGCAAAGCACTGGGATGGACCATTCTTTTCCCCAGGGACTAGTTTGCTGGGCAAATACAAGCCATGAATATCTAGTAGATCATGACTGAAGCTTCGGGGGAGGCAGAAAAGCAGATACTAATCAGAGGGAACCACATGTGAGGAGGGGCAGAAACACACATGTTGAAGAGATACTTGGGGTCAGCAARAAGGCTATCTGGACCAGTGTTAAGGTCTGTAAATAAGTCAAAAATAACACCTGGTATTTTGCCAGAGAAATGTTAGAGTTCGTAAACAAGTCTGGATGGTGCCTGGCAAAATGTCAGAGGGAGTGGTTTGAGAAGTAACAAAAGCGAACCATTAAGTTTGGAGATGCCTTATTGGTTGATTGATGTTTCTAGTTTATGCTAATTAAGATAAGCTGTGCAAAATGTATAAATAGCTCTGTTGCCCTACAATAAAYGGCTCCTATTCCTGCTGTATCAACGTACACWAGTTATTCGTCACCCCCCRGCTAYTTTGCTGCAGCTGGCCTGCGGCAGACCAGAGCAGGGCWACCCATTGGGCAGCGGTCCTCAGTGGAGGGCAAGTTGAACCCTCTGGAAACATTGACAACAGACATTTTTAGTTGTCATATTGGGGTTGGGATCCTAGCTAAAAGCAGGTAGTTCTAGTGAGAAATGGCCTGAGATGCTGCTAAAATTCCTCCAGTGCACAGAACAGGCCACATCAACAAAAGCTAGAGATTTTAGGTTTTATCCTTTGTTACACAGGAGCATGACAAAGATGTTTAGAAATGCTAAGGCTGCTTTTCCATGCCCTGCTCCTGCCTGGCCCCTCTCCCCACTCCTTTGCTACCTTTGCATAGTGAGAGCATTTTTACCTTTTGGGATTCAGCTTAAATGTTACCTACTGAAGAGATTCTCCCAGAATTCTCACGMAAATAAGTTATCTCAGAGACACCATACCATCATCTTCCCATGCTTCCCTCTGCTTTTCCTTCCTCTTACCACAGCTTTGAATTGCACATTTATTCAAGTGCTAGCTTAACATCTGTCTTCTCACAAGCTCTGTGGAAGCAGAGGCCTTGTTTATTTGTTCACCACTGTGGCTCCAACATCAAGCAAAATGTTTGTACATTGTAGTCATTTGATATTTAATCAATTAATTAATTTAAAGGTTGATGTTAGGGTTGAAGTGGGGCAGAGGGGAGGTGAACAGAAAGAGGACAAAAAGGAGCCTTTGGATTATGTCCCTGCTTGCTCAGATCCACAATCATGTCCCCTCCCTGGTTTTCATGGCATGTCTAGTTGATAACATATCARTTTGGGTTCAAGCGAATGTGCAGGAACGCTTTCACCTATTTTAAGCAGAAGTGGATTTAATATAAATAATCAAGCAGGGCATGATGGCACACACCTGTAATCCCAATGGCTTGGGAGGGTGAGACAGGAGGATTATGAATTCAAAACCAGCCTCAGTAAGTTAGCGAGACCCTAACAACTCAGTGAGACCCTGTGTCTAAATAAAATATAAAAAACAAAAAACAAACAAAAAATATATATATAAGGGCTGGGGATGTGGCTCAGTTGTTAAAGCACTCCTGGGTTCAATCCTTGGTACCAAAAAAAAAAAAAAAAAGAAAGAATCAAATGAGTTTAGAATCACTGCAGAGCATGTTCTGGGCTAGACCTCCAGGAATGATCCCCAAACYCACAGTACTGACATCCTCACCATTATATACGCCACATTCAGGAAGGAAGCCACTGATCCAATCTCCAACTACAGGAGCATACTATCTTAGGTGTAACCTGGGTCCAGAGCCACACCGCACTTTCCAAGGCAGCACTGCAAAAGAGWTTCCTTCCAGCTAGCTCCTTCCTCCCTCACCACACAGGTTTGTTTTGTTTTCCTTAAGGCTTAATTTTCATGTCAGATCTTGCACAGGAGCACAGGCCTTCCCAAAACTACAATATAATGTAGCAAAGAATTGAGGAAACGGTTTGTGAGGGGGTTTTTTGTTTTGCTTTGTTTTTTGCTTTTCAACTTCTACAGTATAAGGCACACAGAGAGACATYTGTCCCATTGTGGAACAAGCCAAGTGGCCACACCTGACACAACTGCCCCTGGCTGGATTGTAAACTGTAGATATGACATGAATTGAAATGCATCAAACGAAGGGGGGCATTCTCATTTCTCATAACATTTTATGCCTTTCCAATGGACTTAGCACATTTGCCTCTTGTATTCTCAATTAGAAGTTCATCTTCTTGTCCCCAAACTTTTTTATTTTTCATTTGTTCTTTTTAGATGTACATGACAGCATAGTGTATTCTGACATATTATACAGACATGAAGTATGACATTCTAATTAAGATCCCATTCTTGTGGTTGTACATGATGAACATAGGAAGGTTATGTCTGATTCATTCTACTGTTTTTTTATTCCCATCCCCCCCCAAAAATCTTAATAGATTAAAAATATTTGAAGACTGAATTAAAGACAGAAATAACCTATAGAGAAGAAGTTCTTAGCCTCACTCTACCTTGAGGCAGCTCAGCTCCTGGAACTGACATTTAACAAGATTTCCATTGCCTGCTACTGGAAGCCATGATCACTGCAAGGATCCAGAGGACAAGGCCCCAAGGACTCTGCTGAGCCTCAAGAGACCTAGATTCCAGGTCTCCTCAGAGAGTTAGAAGGACATCTGTGCCCATTCTCTCAATCAGGAAATACATTTCCTAATCTTTTCTTAACCAATAAAAGCATGCCAAAAATTTCAACTTCTGTCCCAGTGAAGTGCTGTGAGTAACACACACAGTCCCACTCCACCCACAGAGGGGCTTTCCTGAGCACTTTAGATTCCGCATGGCCTTTAGGCATTCCAAGCAGGGCTTCCTCACCTTTTCCATTCCTGACACATTCCTGCTACCTCAGATACCCAGCCCAGGATACCCAGCAGGTGCACTGGATGGAGTATCCTTTCCAGTCATCTATTTAGGGACACCCTAAACTCTACTTCACAGGCTCACATCTCCCCAGCACCCAGACCAGAGTCAATCATCCCTGTTTTCCAGGCCTCTCCCTGATCACCCAGGTTCACACTCAGAGTTTTTCTTTCTTTCTTTCTTTCTTTCTTTCTTTCTTTCTTTCTTTCTTTTTAATAGCATATAACTTAATTTAAATTCTATTAGGCAACACATTTTTTTTTAAAAAAAGAGAGAGGATTTTTTTTTTAATATTTATTTTTTAGTTTTCGGCAGACACAACATCTTTGTTTGTATGTGGTGCTGAGGATCGAACCTGGGCCAGACGCATGCCAGTCGAGCACGCTACCGCTTGAGCCACATCCCCAGCCCAGAAATTTTCTTTCTATGAGCTCATTTCACTTGCAACTACTTGCATCATCCCCAAAAGACCCTAAGTTCCATGAAGGCAGGTACCAAGCCTTTCTATGCCCAGCACCTAGCTTGGGACTTGATGCTTATTAATTGATGCTTATTAAATRTTTGTTGAATGAACATTGAACCTACTAACCTGTACCCTCAAATAACATTTATGTAATATTAGTGATAATTCTCTACATAGTGTGTTGGTATACCAAATACCTTTATGGATGAGCATCCCCACTTTGGAGAAAGACAGTGCAGGTGATAAAATTATTATTCTCCCTACTTTTCAGAAAGTGAAACACCATCTATGAGGTTAACTGACTTGTCTAAGACAATGGAACCAGCACTGGAATTTAAAGGCATATCTACATTAAAATTCTGACTGTAAACTTTGTATCACATACCAGCTGTTAAGCAGATGCTCCAGCAGACCAGTGAAATACTGGTAGCCCGTGGAAGAAAACAGGAAAGAAAGCAAAAAACAGGTCTCTGATGGTTTCTCTTTTCCTCCAGTGTATGCTTGCTACCTAAATAGGATCACTCTACTGTCCTGGTAACTGAGACCCTCCAGTAGGGATGACCATTCCCCAAGACTTGAGCTGAGCCACAGAGTTAATGAGGTCAGGGAAGCATCACTGGGAAGGAAAGAGAAGARAGCTGGGACATAGAAGCTCCTATCCACACTATTATGTGTATGCACATTCACATCTGGGCAAAATCCACACCAAGGCATGCATACTTATCAATACAGGGAAAGAGCCACTGCACATTCACTAATGCCACATGCATACCAACATGTTTTCACACACACTCATTCACATCTAAACATGCACCCAACACACAACCAGACCAGGTACACCCAGCATGAGGTACACTGCAGTCACACACCCCAGCTGCAGCCTTCAACCTGTGTGAGCAGATGTGTACACACGGTCCTTAGGCACACAAGCTGCTAAACACATGTGAGTGCCGATGTGTACACAGGGTCCTTATGCACACACACACTGCTAAACACATACATATGCTTCATAATCACTCTAAAGTGCATGCATTTTCGGTACACAGGGAAACGTCCTCTTGCTATAAGCAGTCACGTTCCACACACTCTCAGATACACAACGAGATAAATATCAGCACGCACTGGGCAGATGTCTTTTGGGACACACGCACCCACGCTGTACTCACACCTTTGCAAACTCACGGAAAACAATCACCCTCGTGTACTAACCCTTCAAATACAGTGGCAAGTTCTACGTACAGAGAAATGTAGCGACGCACCTAAGGTGTCACCAACTCTGGAAGTTTTACCCAAACCCTGTGGAAAAAGAGAGCGCCCAACTGCGCGCCAGCCCACGTGACCGGGAGGAAGGCGCTCCCGCCCATGACGGGATGGGAAAACTATGCTGGGGCCGAGTGGGCGCTGCTGCCGCCGCGGGAGGCGGGACGCCCAGCGCCGCCGACAGCTTCCTCCGTCGGACGCCCCTGGACGAGGCCGGGGCAGAGAGGGTGAGTGTCCTGCACCGCGCGGGGTAGGAGCGGAAAGTGCCTGCGGGCGGGCGCATGGGGACGAGAGGATGCGTGCGTTGCGGTCCTGCGAGGGGGAGAGGGCGGCGAGCGCACCCTCTTTTTGAGCTGGGCAGCTGCTCGTTTCTGAATCTCAACCTTGGTCTTATGAATTAAAAAATTTCTTAAGTACTTAGTTTGTGCCAACCTCTGTGCCGGTTGGTTTAGCTGTTATGATAATAAGTAATAGCTTTGCCATTTACTAAGTGCTACTTTGTGCCAAGCCCTACCAGCCCTTTACTGGGGCGCTTTCATTTCCATGGTAACAAGTTATCCCCATCTACTAAAGAGTTGGGTGCAGAGACATTAATGCTTTGAACTCCTTTAAGTCTGAGTCCAATTCCTGAGCTAACAACTATGACCAATTAACGTTTATTGAGTGCATCATCTCATTTATGCTATATAACACTTTTTTGATTAAATACTTTATACAGATGGGCAAACCAACTTCAAAAGGTAATAAAGAGCAGCCAGAGGTTTGTACCCAGCTCTTTACAACTCTCCCCTTCTTTCCCTCCATCCCCAAACTACTTGTCTCCAAGCTTGTCTTAATCTATTTTCTTCCTAATCCTCCATCCCCATTGCCACTGTCCCAGTTCAGGACCTTATCTCTCAGCTTGAATTATGGCGATGGCCTCTAGTGGACTTCCAGCCCAGTCTCTTCTCTAACACCTAAGCCCTTCTTCCAAACTCAGTGATCCTCTTCCGATCCTGTAGGGGAAAGGGAGTTTCCCCAGGCCTCAGGCAGGCTAGGTAAATGCTGTCACTGACTATACCCAGCGCCTCCTGGGCTCTTTGGCCATAYAGCTGTTCTTGGAACCCTTCAAAGTTTCCTTCCTTAGACTGGCCATCTCCCAGAGACTCTGTGTTTCTGCCAAACCAAACCAGCAGCAATAGTAATGATAATATCCTATATAGATCAAATCAAGGCTGATGCCCAGTTAGCATTGTTTTAAAAAATCTCTCACATCCCTATTTCTGCCCGCCTTTCTGCCTGGATTATTCTGTTACCTGGTGATCATATCCATTACTCTGCTTTTGACTACCCACTCCTCAGACACTCTGCCCCTTTCAGAACCTCACCACTGCCCTCCTCCTAACACCTCACTGCTCCACAGCCAAAGGTCTGCCTTCTCCCCTTCTCCTAGCAGGGACATCACCCCTACCTGTCTCCCAATCCTTAATCCTTAGGCCTACCTCATGTTTTAAAAATTATAAAATGATGATGCTCCTCATGCGAAATTCAGACAGTTCATAAAGGTGGAGAGTGAAAAGTAAAAGCCCTCATAGTCCTTCCCAATTCTGAGCAGTAACGCCTTTAACAAAGTTCAGCGAGTTTTCAGAAATCCCCTAAATATGTACGAARCATCCTTTACATCCAGTGCTGCAACTTGCTCTTCTCACTTCTTTGTTCTAACAGAGGTTTCACAGTGTGCGGTTGTGTGGGTGGATGGAGAGTCCCTTTTCACAAGTCTGGAGCTATCTGAAGCTATTCTGTCTCCATAGAGCATCCAGCTAGTTCTTCAGGAAGCCCCTTTTCTCTCTGCCAATCCCTCCATTCTTCCCTYTCTTCTTTCATCCTGACGCCACCCATGGGACATTCTTTCCCACAGTCTCCCACGGATGCTTCCGACTGCCAGTGTTCACTGTGGGTAACAGGCGACTTCTGCACTCCTTCCTCCAGGTCAGAGGGCTGCCAGCTACACTTTGCTTCTGTGAAATAAACTCCTGCATAAATCTGATATCTGTTAAGTAAGCCCTACTCTAGGTTTACTTCTTAAAGAAATTCTGTGCTGAGTATTATTTCAAGCTAATAATCTTCCCTGGATTTGTTTGCTTCTATAAATGGTTTACTTCTCTAACACATGTTCACATGCACACACACATCACACCCCCTGTCAGTAACTCTCCTGTCAGCAGAGGAGCCAGTGGGGCGGGACATGAGCTCTGGGCCCTGACACAGTGGGCCTGGCTGGGTTCTGGGTATGTTTGACTTGGGAAAAATGGTTTTTAGTTCTTCTGATCTATTTTCTCCTCTGCTAAGTGGGGATGACAACATCAGCCCCTTAAAACTATGGAGAGAATTAAAGGAGCTATGAATATCAAAGCTTCAAACTAAGGACACACATATCTAGAGAATCACCACTCTTTTCCTCTAGATCAGGGGTTACTATACAGTTTGTTTAAATAAACTATAGTAATAAAAAGGAAAGTCAGGTGGCAGCTACCCAGAATCTCTGCATTACAGATGCATAGTTGCTGGAGACGAGTCCTTGGACCCACACCAGACCCAGTATCTTCATCAGCTTGGGCTGCTATACCGGGAAACCACAGACTGAGGCAGTGGCCAGTGTGGGGTGGGCTGAAACAATAGACATTTCTCTTATGTCTGGAAGCTGGAAGTCCATGATCAAGGTGTTAAACAGATCTGAGGCCTCTCTCCTTGGCTTGCAGGTGGCCATAGTTTCTCTACTATGTTTTCATATTGATTGTCCCTCTGTGTGTATCCACACCTGAATATTTTTTAAAATATTTTTTTTAGTTGTCAATGGACCTTTATTTATATGTGGTGCTGGGAATCGAACCCATGCCTCACACATGCTAGGGAGGCACTCTCCCACTGAGTCACAAATCCAGGCCCCTAATATCTTATCATAAGGACACAAGTCATATGGAATCAGGACCCACTTATATAATTCATTGACCTTAGTTGACCTTTTAAAGGTCCCATCTTCAAATACAGTCCTGTTCTGAGATTCTGCTGGTGAGGACGTCAACATGTGAATTTTGAGGCATCACAGTTCAGCCCTCCACATCTTGTCTCAAGGGACAGCCAAGTGGTGACCTGCCAGAGTGCAGGCTCAGTACTGCCAGCTGCTCTAGGATCCCAGGAAAAGCTGGAAATTTTTATTTTAATAATAAAAAAAAAAAACTTTCAAGTTTTAAACTGCAACAATTTCAAATTAAAACAAACAAACGCACAGTGTGGTCTGTGGCCAGATGATCGCCTCTGCCTACGTGTAATTTCCTCAGTGGCAGGATCATGTTCTGTCACCTTTGGGTTTGTTTTGTTTTGTTTTTCAGTGCTGGAGATGCAACCCAGGCTCTGCCCTGGCACACACTAGGCTCTACCCTGAGCTACATTCCCAGCCCAGATTTTTAACCCCACTCAGCCAGTTCTTACACATTGCAATATTAACAAAAAATTGAGATTGAATGGCTACATTCTTTTTTTTTTTTTTTTTTTTTGGTACTGGGGATTGAACCCAGGAGTGCTTCATCCCTTACCTATATCTCCAGCCCTTTTTATTTTTTATTATTATTATTTTTTTAATTTCAAGACAGGATCTTGCTTAAATGGCTGAGGCTGGCTTCAAATCTGCAATCCTCTTGCCTTGGGTTTCCAGGTTGCTGGGATTACAGGCATGCACCACAGTGACTGGCTAAATCTGAATTTTTACAACCTTRTTTAAAGTAGGTCACACCTGTAGAATCCTGCATCTCTGCATTCATGCTATGCTAGAAAAATAGCATCTTGCCTGCTGTTTACACAAAAGCTCACAACTGCTCAACACAACTCAGTTACTACCACATTACAGGTGAGGAGACAGCAAACCCAGGTCTGCTTGTTCGTCCACAGGTGTGTAGCAGCCTTCTCTGACAGAACATCTATCTCTTTGTTCTCAAAAATGATTATTTTTTTTCAGAAGCACACTATCACTAAGTGCTTGCTGTGGGCTGGTTACTGCATGGTCTTGTTTAATGTTCATAATTACTCTACAAGGGGCAAGCAATCAAATCACTTAGAGGAGATAGTCCTGAAGACTTCAAACAATTCCAAACTGGAGTGATTCAAAACTCACCTGCAGAAGGGTGGCAGGAATGTCTACTTAAGYACTTGCTGAATAATGCTATCATCACCAGGTGGCACAGGCCTGTAATCCCAGCATCTCAGGAGGCTGAGGCAGGAGGATTATGAGTTCAAAGCCAGCCTCAGCAATAGTTCAATCATGTAGCTAGAGAATAAACACAACTTGTAATTTACAGTCCACATTATATGGATTGTATAACCAATATAACTCAGTATAGCCCAGAATAACCGCAGAGTTATGTCAGATTTCACACATAAAGTGAAACAGTAAWTATTTTTACATAATTTCAAATAAGATGATATCATTGTTCCCATTTTACAGATAAGGAAACTGAGTCTCAGAGAGGTCAAATAACTTGCCTATGGTCAAACATTTCTAGAAAAKGACTCTTCACCACCAGCCTAGCTCTGTGATCTCTGAGGCTAGCCCTGCATCAGATCCTTCAGGTTATCCTGACTGCCATGGGGGCCTGACCCCAAGTGAGCAGGCAAGCCCTCACAACAGCCCAGAGATATCGAGGAGACAGCCTTTCCTTCCCCACCCCTCAAAGTTCAGAATTTGTTCTTCACCCTCAGTTCCTGGGTCTTCCACTGTGGTCCTTTTGGTACCATTCTGAGGGTTCATCTAGCCCCTACATTTTCTTGCTCTGCCTCCTGCTTGGTCCTGGATGCTTTAGCAGAACCTGTTACAAAGAAAGAGGAGGAACAAGGCAGATTTTCTGTCCTGGTCGCTGAGTGCACAAGCAGACCAGGCTGGATGCTAAGTAACCACAGCGTCATAGGCTCACAGTGTGCCCTAATGGAGCAGCACCCACCGTTTCCCTTTCAGATCTCCAGGGTCTGCACCAAGAGCAATAACGACAAGCAATGGCCAGGGCCAAACACACAGCATCCGGCATCCGGCATGAGACATTGGGGCATGCGACATTGGCTTGGCCCAGTCTCTTGATGAGATAAGCCCTGCTCCATTGATTCGCTTATCTTTGTATCATGGAGCATGAAAACGCCAGATGGCTCAGAGGTACAGGGCCAACGTGACACCCCCATCCTCGCTCAGAACAGCAGCAGCAGG